TTGACTTATGTTAAGAAAGGAAGGGGTAGACCTAAAAAGACTTGGTTAGAAAATATTAGGAATGACCTTTCTTTATTAGGTTTAAATGAGAATTTGACTTTTAATAGAACACAATGGAGAAAAAGGATTCATGTAGCCGACCCCACGTAGTGGGATAAAGGCTTGATGTTGTTGTTGTTGTTGTTGTAAAAAAAAAGTTGTATAGTGTGAATATGGAACTAAAGGTGATTCTTTGCTTTGTATGTTTAGTCCCACATCACTTAAAAGTTTTGCTTTGTATAGTGTATATACCTTCTTGCTTTCACTTATGATAAGAGCTCTTAAGGAATAATGAAGACATGAGATTGATGGAATTATGATAATATTGTGTTTAATTTAATTTAAGAGTTTTATATTAATATTTATATTAATAATGATTAAGTTTAATATTTATTTAATATTAAATAAATTATTTAACTAATTTTATTATAAAAACTTGAACTGGCCGGTTTTACAAAATCGGGACTGGTTCACCGGTTGAACTGGCGGTTCTTCCCAAAACTGGCCTGTTCAAAGCGAAGCCGGTTTTCAGATTGGACCGAACCGGCCCTGAAACCGGTTCAATGTTGAACCAGTCGGACCGGCCGGTCCGGTCCGATTTTTAAAGCACTGATATTATTTAGCTTAGGATGTTGCAATTAGCCATATGTTTGTTTATAAAAGAGATGATGGGAAGAGGAAATAAATATATATTTATAGAGACATAGTGCCTAGGCTTTCTACCTATGCCCATTATAAGTGAAGTGGATTTTCAATAAAATAAATGTAAATTAAATACAATGGTTTTCAAAAAGACCATAAGGCTGGAGAAACGTACACCAAATATGCTTATCAAATCTAAGGCTTTCTAAGTTTAAGAATGCTCACCTCACCGGAGTAAGTCAACAGTGGTTTCGGCCGTAGCACCCTCATTTAGAAGAAATGGGAGTGACTCAAGCTGCTTGTTGTTGTCCAAATCCCTTGTCCGAATGTTCGTCACATCTCCTTGTAGATGTTCAACATTGTTCCTTGCAAAACATAGCAAAGAAAGAGATGAAACAATGGTTAGCAGTTATTATTTAAAAAAATACAATTAAATTTAAACATAAATTTTTTCGGGTTTCTACACCAGCTTTGTTGACTTTGATTTTGGAAACTTAAATTTTAAAAGTATCTTTGTGATTTTGGAACTCATCCCAAGACACAAGAATGAGAAGAAGAATATAGAAGGGAGAAAGAGGTAGAGAGAGAGAAAGAAACTAAGAGAGCATGCTTTTCTTCAACACTTCACTTTCCAACATTCATACATTTCCCAAACAACTACTAATTGATATAAAGCACTTTATTCCAATACCTTCCCTTTATTTTCAAACTGCAATATGAAACCCTTCAAGTAACTCATTTTTGTAAGCTTTTGTTACAAACCTCTAGAAGACAAACATAGAAAATGATACTCCACTTCTATCACATATTTCAAGCCAAACCCAACTTATAACATCAAATCATAGGATTTTGTTAATAAGAATGGTATTAGCTATCGCCATTTGCCTCTCATTCTTATATATTGACAGTGAATATTTATGCATTTAACACATGATTTGTTAAAACACAAGAAAATTATCATCTCACCCTCTAAAGGACAATGACTGTTTATCAAAGCTGAAACAGACTAAAGAGTTGGCACTTCAACTCCTCAAATCTACCAATGGAACAACACCTCAAACTTACTAAGAAGCTATCTCAAGCATACATCGGCATTGCACAACTTGTCACAGGAGATTATCAACATCTTGTTTTTCACAATAAGATATTGATTCTTTCCAACAAAACTTTCAAAGAACACACGCACAAGACTTGTTGGAGGACAAAAATCATGATAATACTCTATGCATATCACTAATGGCAAGCTATGTATTTGAGGCACAAATATGTATTTAATTTTCCAATTTACTTGAGCTTCACCAATTGCTCATGAATGTATGCAAAGAAAGAATTATAGAATTTTATGCTCGCTTTTCCCATTGCTTCACATTAAGTTTAGCTTGTAATAACAAAACATAAACCATATGAAATTCATTCATGCTAGCAAGACAAACTTTCTAATAAAATCATAGATCTTATTCGAATCTACCACAAGACACCATGTTTATCAAGATTGCAATCTCTCATAATCAAGAATTATTCGAAAGAAGAAAAACAGCCCTGTTTTCTTGAAACAATCAATTCCATGAAAGAAGAACTCTCATTAGCATGAAAGTCACAAATCCTCCCAGCAAAAATACTGAAGTGAATTCACTAGATGTCAAAAATTGAGAAGGAAATCACCGCTTTAAACAATACTTATTTTAAAATCTCATTGTCTTGGGGTTAACAAGGAAATTCTAATTAATCTAGATAATGCCTTGCATTTACTCAAATGAATTTCAGCTCAAATAGTTATCACCCCTTAAACATTTTTCTAGAGAAACATGAGTGTATTGCATCTTTAATCCTTCAAAGAAAGCAAGGATGAGGTAATAGTTTCAGTTTCATCTCTATAAGAAAGAAAGAAAAAAAAAGGGTAAACTTACATGCAATGGAATAAACAACAACAACAAACAAGGCTTTATCCCACTATATGGGGCCGGCTACATGAATCATTTTTCTGCATTGTGTCATGTTAAGGGTCAAATTCTCATCTAAATCTAAAAAAGAAATATCATTTCTAATATTTTCTAACCAAGTCTTTTTAGGCCTATCTCTACATTTATTAACATAAGTCAAATCTAATACATCTACTTTCTTAACTGGGTCATCGGAAGGCTGCCATTTTATGTGACAAAACCATCTAAGGCGATTCTTTCTAATCTTATCTTCCACTAGAGCTACTCCAACCTTTTTCATGTATATGCTCATTTCGTATTTTGTCTTTAAAAGTAAAGCCACTCATCCACCTGAGCATCTGTTAGACCAGTCCCTAGTGGACCGGCCCAACCACAACCGATCTCTTTAAAGAGCCGGTTCTTTGCTGCAGGAGGAGGGGTTGCGACATAAGGAGAGAGGAAGGAGTGGGGCCCACTAGGGATTCAAATTCAAAAGAATTGGAGGCAAAGGAGGGGGCGGTAAGGGCAACGGAGTAATTTGGCTTCAAACAATTACTTGTATGCTTTAAGTATGGGAGAAGGGATTAGGGTTAGGGTTATGCATGATTATTGTTTCTCTTGAAGTTCTCTTTGGTGTCTTGGGTTCTAGGCTTCTCCTCTAGAGATTGGGAGAGAATGATCCTCCTCTCGAATTAAAGATCAATTGTATATTTGTTTCGTTCTTGTTTCGCTTTGATTTCTATAAAATTATATACTGATTTTGATTGCTTCCACCCAACTTCTATTTTTCTCGCTGTTTTTATCAAATATTGTTAGATTTGCTTGCGAACTCAAGTATTCCCATTAGGGTTACTTGCGAACTCAAGTATTTCCTATCAACATCCCCATCTCTGCAACACTTAAAGTTAATATTATGCTTCTTTTTTAATGGCCAACATTCCGCACCATGAAGCATTACAGATCTGCCTACCATCTTATAGAATGTTTCCTCAAATTCGAGAGGGACTAAAATTAATACATACTAAAAATACAACTGAAGCGTAGTCACCCTTCAACTCGGCGACTTTCGTCGCCAAGTTGGTGACCTCCTGCTTGCTTGCGTGGCAACCCAAATGCCCTTTTAAAGCATAATTCATGATTTTTTGTTTAACGCATAATCTTATTAAGATCCTCTAAAAAATTTATCCAGTAACAAAGCGGGCTACTGATTTTGTGCTCATATTTTGTAATTTTCATTCTGTCCAAGCAGAAACATTATTTTATCCTATTGACAGACTAAATGGCTGTCTTACAGGTCCCATATATTGTGCCGTTGATCATGTACAAAGAGCACTTATCAAAGAAACGATTCTATTGGGTAAATATGCAAAAATGAAGAATTATGATTTTATTTCATGTTAAGCGGTTGCTCCATCACAAGCATTTGTACCATCTAATTACTGCCTCATAGAACTAACGTTTGCAGATCTGATTTCTGATATCTTGCTTGATTTTTTCTTTAGTATTAGTCTCAAAATTAGCATATTACTTGCTATGTTCTTCATTTTAGTCTATAAGCGGCTCTTCTGAAATTGTCCAGTTGATCACCTGCATGAGCATAAATTTGACGAACTGTGCTTTTTTATTTTATTTTATTTTTTATGATCGAACCGCATCAACAAAGTATAAGCATTTTGTGAGTTTAAATTATGTGTTATCTGAAAAAGCAGAGGGATTACAGGTGACCTTTTGCCTCTATTGAAATGCTTTGTTGTATCCAAAAACGTCCGTCTGAATGAGGGAAAATTATTACGTCCGGTGTCCTGATTCGTCTGGACATCAATCCAGACGCGTCATGTCACTCACATACACATGGGGTCCAGTGTATCCGAGTGACGTGACGTGTTTGGATTGGTGTCCGGATGGTCCGGTCACCGGACGAAATAATTCGCCCTGAATGAGACGAGCTGATATGTATGAAAAGTATTTCTAATTTTTCATTGCTATGCAGTCGAGTAAAATGTTGCGGGTTGGTTGTTTGGATGTATTTATGATACAACAATAATAACAACAGTAACATCAAGCTTTTATTCTACTATGTGGAGTTCATTGCATGAATCCTTATTCTCCATTGTGTCAACTTCTCATTTAAATCTAACAAAAAAATATCATTTCTAATATTTTATAATCAAATCTTTTAAAGTCTATTTCTATTTTTCTTTTTATAAGTCAAATTTAGTACATTTACTCTCTTAATTCGATCATTGGAATACATCTATTTTAGATGACTAAATCATCTAAGGTGACTCTCTCTAATATAAGTTTGTTGAATTTCAATTTTAGTTTTTGATTCATATTTATATCGAGATTTGTGCTTGATCAAGATAATTTTTGGTGACATATTAGTTGTCCCCATATTTTCTGACGTAAAAGCTTGCGAAGTCTAAAAATATATATCTGTACATTTTCTGAATTGCTTGTGAATAATTCAATCAAATAAATACCAATTTTGGAATATAAAAATGCTAAAAACAAAGTTATAACTCAATTCTTTATGAGATTTGCATTTTTTTTTAACTTACTATAACATTAATTTGTTTATAAAATATATGATACTAATAATTGAATTTTGTTTTGGTGATAGAGTGGATTGATCTTTGAACTTCCATAACAATTTTCATCCATCATATCATTATAGCAATCTTGATATGGGCAAATTATTACGTTCGGTGTTTGGATTCATCCAGACACTAATCTAGACACGACACGTAATCAAAATATATCGGATCCTGATATATTTGGATGATGTGATGCGTCGGATTTAAATGTCCGGATGGACGTAATAATTCGCCCTTGATATGTATGTTATTTGTTCTGATTGATCATTGAGGGGATTTTAATATTTTTTCCTATCATTGTACGCTAAAGATTGGGTGAGAGCAACTTCACATGCAATTGCAAGGAAGCTTCCATCATTTATTTCACGTGCGACAATAAATTCTTGTCTTCACTTCATCTGTCCAAATTTGCATTAACAGAGTCTGTCCAGTTAAGCTTCTTTTTAAATTATATTTAATATTTAATATTTTAATTAATTTGAATTATTCTGTTCTGGGAGAATAGTACACTGTAAATTTGAAAATTACATTAAAATTTTGTTAATGTGAGAATTATTATTTATTCGACATCCTTAGCCATTATAACCATACATTATTATTCACAGAATGCAGAAATTCACATTTTAAAAAAAATTTATTTTTCAAAGCCTTAATAAATAATTGATGAGTTTTCAAATAGAAGTGGGCAATTTGCTTTGCTAAAAGTATTTAAAATAAATGTATTTAACTTTTTATTAATGCATATTTGATTGATGAGATGAAATTTAATAATTATATATTCAAAATTTTAATTTTAATAGTGATTTATTAATATACATTTAAAAATAAGTAAATAAAATTTGTGATTTATGGGTAGCATAAATAAATAGAAAAAGTTTATTTCAAAAGAAGTGAATTTGTATTAAATTAAATGAAATAAAATATTTTAATGAATTAAAAGGATAATAAATTTCATATTTTGAAATGTACTTTCTTTTTGGAGAAAAAAAAAAAAAAAAATTGCAACTCCGCAAATTCCTAAAGAAAATTTATTTAAAATAATAGATATTTTCATTTATTTATTTTTAATATATTTAGATACTAAAGTGATATAAAAATAAATATACTAATTTAGATATTAGATATATAAATAGTTAAGAATTTTATAAAATGAATCTAAATTCCCCTACTTTTTTTATTAAATATGTTTCATTATTATATTCACATGGTATCTATCAATCTAATTAAATTATTAGATAAATATAAATTAAAATGTAGATATTTATATAATATTTTTCTTTACTTATAGAGTATTTAAAGTTTTATTTATGTTTTTCTAATAGTTTAATTATCTTTAAAAAAATTTGATGATTAAAATAAATAATATGTGTAATAAAAGCACCTTTTTTATTATAAAATATAAAAAATCTATTTAATAGATTTTTTTATTATTTTAGAGGTAAGTTTGATTTTACTTTGAATAATCAAATCATATAACTTTAGTTTAAGTATATTATAAGATCATTAAAAATTTGAACTTATGTATGTACTTTTGAGTTCAACATCATATAATAAATTTCCATTAATTAAAATTTTAAAATTTTGATTATTAATCATAATGTATAATATATAATACTATATAATATACTTTCTAAATTAAATTTAATTAATCCACAATAAATTTAAGATTTTGACTATTTTTTTAGTGCAATAAGCCTCAAAACTTGCATGAAATGATAGGATTATAGAATCATATCATAATCAAATTTTTATCTAGTTAAAATTATTTATTTTGAAAGTTAATTTATAAATAAGTAGCCCCAATATTTTTTTATTATGATCATTAGGTTTCATTTGGGAGATTTTCTTGTGCTTATTAAAGCAGTTTTTAGAAAAAAAATTAATTTTTTTAACTAAAGCTGTTCCCGATGAAATATCGTAGATTTCATTTTGGAACGTTCTTTTTCTTAATATTTTTAAAAGTTAAAATTTTAGTATAAAAATAAAATTTTATATTTAAAAAGTTATTTGTAAACAGCAATTTAAAAAAGTCTTCCCAAATAAAATTTTAATTAAGATGGGTATTAATAAAGTGCTTAAAATATATTTTTTATAAAAAAAAATAGTAAAATTAAATAAAGAGGACATTGCTAACTTTCAAAGGTGGATTTTTTTCTTTTAATAATAAGTAAAATAAGGCAGAGTTATAAACTTTTTGTTTACAACTCTCTTCCCCCTTCTTTTTCCTCTCCATTTTCAAATCCTGAAGTCATGCTTGACACTTCTCTAAATATTCTTCTCCTCCTCCTTCTCGCCGCCGGCGCCGGTGAAGCCGCTTCTGCTGAAGCTACGCCGCCATCCCCTCCGTCAAACGGTACCACAGTATACGAACTTCTCCCCAAATTCGGTCTCCCTCCGGGCCTCGTCCCCAATACTGTCACCTCCTTCTCCCTCGCCAGTAACGGCGAATTTGAAGTAAACCTTGCTGGAGAGTGCTACGTTAACTTCGAATACCTGGTTTATTACTCGCCCAAGATAACCGGTGTCATACGCTATGGCGAGATCGACGATCTCAAGGGCATCCAAGTGCGCCGTTTCTTCATCTGGTTTGACGTCGACTCCATCAAGGTCGATCTTCCGCCCTCCAATTATATCTACTTCGATGTTGGGTTGATTACGAAGAAGCTTAGCGTCGGGCAGTTTAAGAACATTCATTCATGTCAGAAGGGGTTGTCGGCGGATTTGATGGAACATGGCGTGGGGTTGGATCGGGTAAGGCTTATTCTTTTAATATGATTTAGTGTTTTTTGTTGATTTTTCATTTTTTTTGATGGGAAATTATGCGACGATGTCAACTTGACTTTTTTTTTTTTTGTTGCCGTAAGCATCTGGAATGAATGGTTTTTTATGATTTCTTGAATGAGGAGGAAAATGAGTTAAATTTGGGCGAAGCTTTCTAGGGTAATTTGCTGAATAGATAACCCTAAAATTGGTTTATGATTAAAAAAGAGGAGAAATGGGTTGCTTTCCGATTTAAACTATTCTAGTGTGAGAGAGTTGGGCAGGACCTTTTGGACTGAGTAGCTTTACTCTTAAAAAAAAAAAAGTATTACAATTTACAAGGACTAGCAAGAACATCAAATCTTCTCCAGTTACCAGATAACATTGTAAGTTGCCTTCATCCTCGCAAACGAATTTGCGTGGCTGGGATTGAGTTCATCAAAATCAGAGTAATTTTGAATCAAAAAAATTGATTCGATTTTGTGCAGGTGGGATTGAATCCAGAAATTTTATTGAAAATATCTTGGATTTTTACGGATTCAATCCCAAAGTTAATTGCATGGCTGATAAGAAAACGAAATACCATGATAACTTTAGACGGTCTAAACGTCCCAAAAAAAAAACTTTCTCCTTCCAGAACAGTAAGCCTTCTTGCAGAATGTTAGTGCCATGTGCAAATAATATATTTCAAAACGCAAGGATTGGCCTTTTGTTTAACTCTTTTCTTTTCATTTTTTCAAACAATTGCTTAGTATTTTCAGATCCTTTATGTTCTTCAGCAGCTGCTGCATATTTTTTTTTCCATCATTAGCTCGTCAAATATGATTAACCCATCAAATTCTATACTATAAAGTATAATCAACTGGATTTATGTTTGACATGGTTAATATTTTGTTGAAATATGCAGCTCTCAGAAGATGCTGGCATGATAATATCAGAATAAGCAGAACGCATTGAAAAACAACTATTTTGCTCTTTCAGGCCTTTCTAAAATGTCTGTAATGTAATTTGCAAATGTCAGCCACTTCAACTATATGATACTATGTAGAAGAAACTTCTGGTAAGCTTTATGGTGATTTGTGCTTCATGTGGTTATGATATATCATAATACTGCCTATTACTGTATAACATGCAGTTTGTTTGATCTGTTTGAACAAATTCCAGCAGGTAATAGTTTTCTTTATTTTCAAATTTTCTTTGAACTATACATAGATTCATTAGCTTGGTGGTTTTTGTTTAGCACAT